TTTATCCATTTACCAGTTGATAAACATTTTGAGTAATGTTGCTATGAATATTTCCATAGAAGTCTTTGTGTGGACATAAGATTTTATTTTTCTTGGTTGGATACCTAGAAATGGAATTGCTGGGTCAATGGAAGCTTATGTTTCACTTTATAAGAAACCACTAAACTGTTTTCCAAAGTGACTATTCCATTTCACATTCCCAACAGCAATCTATGAGGGTCACAGTTTCTTCACATCCCCATGAACACTTGTTGCTGTCCATCCTTTAGATTATAGTTATTCTAGTGGGTGCGTAGAGGTAGCTCATGTTTCTCATTTGCATGTCCCTAATGAAAAATAATGTTGAGCATCTTTTCATGTGCTGTTAGCCATTTGTCTATCTTCTTTGGTGAAAAGTCTATTCAAATCATTTGTACATTTAAAACATTTTTTTGAATTATAAGGGTTCTTAATATATTCTGGATGCTGAAGTTAGTCCCAGATTTGAGAAATTTCTAAGTACTATTAGGTCAAGGGATGACCTGTGTTTTGTCTCTTGAAAGGACTAAAATTGAGCTAGCCCTTAGAAGTGGTGGGTCTGGGTACCCTGAGTATTCTTATGTTAATTGTGGAGATTATTTTATTTCTTAGAGCTAAGATTTAGTAATAGGACGTTTCCGTTTTCTTGGAAGTGACAATGTTTATGTATTCTCTTTTTGTTGCTATAGTTTATTAATGTTTGTTGGGAAGGGTGCTACTTTAAAGAGCCTCTTGTATAGCAAGTGTTGGCTTTATCTGGAGTTCGGTGCTTGGGGTATTGTAGAGGCAGTCAGCAAAACTGTGGAAAGGAATGATTATTTTCATTTCTTTGGTATTTAGATTCTTTCTACTCTTGTGTATGCTTAGTAGTAGCACCAAGGGCAGGTAGGGTGATTCACACTTGTAATCCTAGCACTTTGGGAGGCTGAGGTGGGAGGATCAGTTGAGTCCAGAAGTTTGAGGTTGCAGTGAGCTATGATCTTGCTACTGCACTCCAGCGAGGACAACAGAGTGAGAGCCTGTCTCTGAAAATAAACAAATAAATTTCAAAAATAAGAGCACTGATAAAGAATATTAAAATATACATGATATGTTGTAAGTAGATAATATTGACTTTTAAATTCTCAATAATATACTATACATACAGTATAAGGCAGTGACTACAAAATTTGTCTATCTTAGAATTTTAATGGGGAGTTTTAAAAAAAGCAATCTGCACCCCGTTTTGAACTTACTGAATTAAACTTACTGCAAGGGGACTTGCAGATATGGGACTCCAGAAATCTTGTTTTTTAATTTGCTTTCTCCAACTTTTGAATGACTGGGGATAGATGAAATAAAATTGGCAAAATGTTGATAACTATTAAAGCTGGATAATGGATGATATATGAGTATTCATTATACTATTCTATTTTGGTATGTGCTTAAAATCTTCCATCTTAGAAAATTAAAAAAAAAAAAAAAAAGAAGAAATTCATAGCCTACTTCTAGCCAAGTTGGCACCAGTCCTGTCATTTGGGAGCCACTATTCTCATTTGGATTTACAATTACCAGAAACATTTACCGAGGACCCAGCAGTAAACCAACTATTATACTCTACCTTTGAGATACTTTAAATGGAGGCTACTATGATACATGAATAAGGGTAATTAATTAGGACCCCTTATTACTGGCAAACATGATAAGAGAAAGCTTTTTATATTTACTTAACCAACATTTTCTTAACTACTGAATATTCTTTTCTCAGTTAGCATTCTTTTGTATGTGTATTTCCTATCCCAAATAGCATAAAAAAAGGTGACGGGGGATGGCATGTTAGGTGGAGTGAAATAAATGACAGAGCATTGGTAAACATGTAAACATTCTCTTTCCTGGAAACATGGTGAGGAGATAAATAATTTTTATTAGAAGCCAGTATGTCTTTCTTATATGTCTCTTCCTACAAATTTACAAAGAAGATCACATCAAAAATAAATTTCATTGATTAAATCAGCAAAACTGGGCCTTAGTGCTATGTATAAAATTTGGCCTCAAGCCAGGTGTAGTGGCTCACGCCTTTAATTGTAGCACTTTGGGAGGCTGAGGCAGGATTGCTTAAGGCTAGGAGTTCAAGACCAGTCTGAGCAATATATCGAGATCCCCATCTCTACAAAAAAATAGAAAAATTAGCTGGGTGTGGTGGTGTGTGCCTTTAGGTCCCAGCTGTTGGGAAGGTGGAGGCAGGAGGATCGCTTGAGCCCAGGAATCTGAGGTTGCAGTGAGCTGTGATGATGCCACCATACTCTACCCTGGGCAATAGAGTGAGATCCTGTCTCAAAAAAAGCAGGGGTTGGGCAATGAAAAATAAGTTAGTTATTCATTAGTTGTCCTTTAAGACTTGAAAGAATTTTATTCATATCTATTACCCACCCTTCTTTCCTTCCTTTCTTCCCTTGGTTGTTTTTTGTTTGTTTGTTTGTTTGTTTGTTTGAGAGAGGCTCTTACTTTGTTGCCCAGGCTGGTCTCAAACTCCTGGATTTAAGTCATCCTCCCTCCTTAGCCTCCAAGTAGCTGTGATTACAGGCATGCGCCATGGTGTATTTCTTTTTGTATTTAACTACCTTTAATATTCATTGTTCATGGATTAGAAGGGACCGTAATGTGATGATAATGGTAATGACACGTTACATTAGATGTTATGGTCCTTTTTAATTCAGAGACAACAAATATTAGGCAATCCTATTACTTTAGGATTGCATAGTCTTAAGTATCTCCCCCAAATATTTATTAATTACAAAGGGAAAGATGGTAACTTTATAGTGGAGATGCCAGCCAATGCCTTATTAACCAAGTGACTAAGGTTAACATCACAAGTTACATGGATATCATCAACCCCCTGGTGTGTTGTACTGAGGACAGAACATCATTCTGCGGTATTCTTATCAAAATGCATAACCTCATTCCAGTCATAACAAAAGATCAATCAAAGGAACTTTTCTAGATTGGAAGAGATTAAAGAGAAATAATAGTTAAATGTAATGTGGGACCCTGGGAAGAGAAAAATGATATTATTAATAGAAAAAATTGGTAAAATTTATATAGTCTGTTAATAGTTTTATAACAGTTTTCTGCTTTGACAATTGTCCTATGGTTATGTAAAATGTTAATATTAGAGGAAGCTAAATGAGAGGTATATGGGAATTCTCTGTATTATTTTTGTAATTTTTCTATAAATATAAAATTATTTCTAAATAAAAAGTTTCAAGCCTCAACAGAAACTGGAAAAAACTATTTGCATTACTTACAACAGAGGGTTAGGTTTCTCTTTTTGTATAGATTTCATAGAAATTAGTAGGAAAAAATATACATGGAAAAATGGGCAAAGGATATAAACAAGCGGTTTATGGAAAAAGAAATGTACGTAATCAGTAAATATATTAAAACACCATTTGTATAATTCAAGATATGCAAATTAAAATAGGATATTTTTACTTTTTGGGTTGTCAGTGATTAAAAGATTTTATAATACTCTTATCAGTGACACCTATATTGCATAAATTGTTATTTACCTTTTAGAAGGCAAGTAGCAATTCCTTTGTTAGGAATTTACCCTACATCAATGCTGGTAGCATGTATGTACAACAATGTGGGAAGAATTCCAAGATGTATTATTAACTGAAAAGTAACAAGATACAGAATACCATGTATATATGGGATGATTGCTTTTGTGTAGTTTTTCAGAGTATATAGGTATATGTATAAAAATATGTTTTTTAAACATAGTGTCTTGTTGGGAAAGAGAGAGCCCTGGAATTAAATGGCAGGGGAAGACTTTTCATCTTATACCTTTAAGTTCTAATTTTTAAAAATTATGTACATATTTTATTTTTAAAAAATTTAAAAACATACACTTACAGAATTAATAAAATTTATATTTTTGGTCTTTTATTATAAATTTTTTTATTCTGAATGACATTACCCATTAATAAATATTATTGGTCAAGTGCATTGAGTACTTTTTATATATAATGTCAATTCATTAAATATCATTGGTCAAGTGTATTATTGAGTACTTTATATAATGTCAATTCATTAAATATTATTGGTCAAGTGCAGTGTTGAGCACTTTTTATATATAATGTCAATTCATTAATTTGTCATAATTTACTTAATTTTTATAATTTCATGTGAAGTATGAAAGTTAGATTTCCTAATAGAATTTTGGCAAATGAACTTGTGTGTCAGTGGTTAGTATTTATCAGTCACCTGGGATGCTCATTAAAAACTGCAGAGGCTTAAATCCTAGATTCTGCTCTAGTAAACCTGGGATGATGCCCTGGAATTTGTATTTTAAAAGAGTTCCAGAGATGATTCACATTGCAAATTTAATACACTGCTTTACATCACTGTTTCTTTTTTGTTGTTGTTGTCTTAAGATTTATTTTATTTCCTATCAGTGTAATGTTAGAAATTATCCTGCTAGTGCCTAGAGTCCATTTTCATTAATTGTTCTCAAAAGTAA